AAGGAGAGCAAATGATAGAGTGGGTGAGGTGCTATTAAAAAGTTTTGTTGACAATAACCAAAAGTTTTGGAGTGAGATTAATAAGTTGATAAAGCCTAGAGAACAAATAGATCTGACAGTTAGAAATAGGAGAAGAGAGTTATTAGAGTTAGAGGTATCGGGAAGATCGAGGAAATATTTTGAGGAACTGTTTATGCTTCATGAAAATAGGGAAGCTGTGATTTCATGTATTGGGCAGGGAGGTATAACATCTTGTAGGAGTGAGGAAGAACCAGCTGTGAGTGTGGGGGAAGTGCATGAGGTAGTGAGTAGAATGCAAGGGGGTAAAGCAGCTGGGATTGATGAGATAAAGACAGAAATATTAACAGCAACGGGATGATATAGTTTTGGAGTAGTTGGTGCTTTTATTTAATAAATGCAGGAAGGGATAAATGCTAGATTGGCAGAGAGATGATAGTTCCATTTGTATGAAGGCAAGAAAAAAGAGAGTGTAAAAATAAGGGAAAAGCCTGTGAGTATACCTAGTAAAGTGTAAGGTTTAAAAAGAAATGTGCAATCTTGGGTTATTTTATTAAGGAAAGTTTACAAAGTCCCTCAAGGAAGGTTCCTTGATGTTGGTGAAGGGCTCTTGATTTAGGGAATTGGATCTGTGCTCAGTTCCCGAATTAAGCTGAATGCCTTCCACATCCCCCCCCCAGGCGCTGTATAATCCTCCGGGTTTAGCGCTTCCCCCTTGATTATAATAATAATTCGCCACACAGTGGCTTCATCAGTCCATACACAGGAGAAACTTGAAGAACAGGAGGAGAATGAGGTAATCAGTCCCTCAACCTTGAGTCGATGTGGTCAGTCCATCAATCTTGAATAGAATACAGCATATGAGCGGAGAAGCAGCTTATAAACCGTAGGCAGGAGAGGTGCAGCAGCCGTAGGTGGTGTCACATTTGTCCATTGTGGAAGTAGGTCGTGCCCAAGGGTTAGGCAAGTGAAGAATTCCCAAGTATTAAGATCCCAAGAAGTTGCAGTGTCTGACAAAACTGTAGATGAATGGTTCACAGAATTCTTCACTTGCCTAACCTTTGGGCACGACCTACTTCCACATTGGACAAATGTGACACCACCTACGACTGCTGCACCTCTCCTGCCTACGGTTTATAAGCTGCTTCTCCGCTCATATGCCATATTCTATTCAAGATTGATGGACTGACCACATCGTCTCAAGGTTGAGGGACTGATTACCTCATTCTCCTCCTGTTCTTCAAGTTTCTCCTGTGTATGGACTGATGAAGCCACTGTGTGGTGAAACATTTCTTTAATGAAGATACCCAAGAGTTGCACATGTGTCTAATTTATCAACGTGTCGGTTTTGTGAACCATTCATCTACAATCCTGTCAGACACTGCAACTTCTTGAGATCTTAATACTTGGGAATTCTTCATTTGCCTAACCCTTGGGCACGACCTACTTCCACATTGAACAAATGTGACACCACCTACGACTGCTGCACCTCTCCTGCCTACGGTTTATAAGCTGCTTCTCCGCTCATATGTCGTATTCTATTCAAGATTGATGGACTGACCACATCGACTCAAGGTTGAGGGACTGATTACCTCATTCTCCTCCTGTTCTTCAAGTTTCTCCTGTGTATGGACTGATGAAGCCACAGTGGCGAAATGTTTCCTTAATAAAGATACCCAAGAGTTGCAGGTGTCTAATTTATCAACATGTCGGTTCTGTGAACCATTCATCTACAAAGTGTAAGGTAGAGTTATTACTGAAAGAATTAACATTAAGACAGAGAGCAAGATCGTAGATGAACAAGGAGGATTTAGGAAGGGTAGGGGTATGTAAACCAAGTGTTTACAGTGAAACATATAGGTGATCCATATCTAGATGAGGGTAGAGAGGTTTTTGTTGCATTTATGGATTTGGAAAAGGTGTATGATAGGGTAGATAGGGGTGGGCAATGTGGCAGATGTTGCCAGTGTATTGAATTAGAGGTTACTGAAAGCAGTAAAGAGTTTTTACAAGGATAGTGAGGCTCAGGTTTGAGTATGTAGGAGAGAGGGAGAATATTTCCCAGTAAAAGTAGGCCTTAGACAGGGATGTGTCATGTTACCATGGTTGTTCAATATATTTATAGATAGGGTTGTAAGAGAAATGAATGCTCGGATGTTGGCAAGAGGTATAGGATTAAAAGATAAAGAATCTAACACAAAGTGGGAGTTATCACAGCTGCTCTTTGCTGATGACACTGTGCTTTTGGGAAATTCTGAAGAAAAGTTGCAGAGGTTAGTGGACAAGTTTGGTAGGGTACGTAAAAGAAGGAAATTAAAAGCAAAAGTAAGACAGAGTAAGGTGACGAGGATAAAAAAAATTGGGTAATGAAAGACTGGATATCAGATTGGAAGGCAGGAGTATGGAGGAAGTAAATGTATTCAGATATTTGAGAGTGGACTTGTTAGCAGATGGGTGTATGAAAAACAAGGTGAATCATAGAACTGATGAAGGGAAAAAGGTGAGTGGTGCACTGAGGAGTCTGTGAGACAAAGAACATTATCCATGGAAGCAAAGAAGGGAATGTATGAGAGTACAGTCATACCAACACTTTTATATGGGTGTGAAGCATGGGTGGTGAATGCTGTAAGGAGAAGGCTGGAGACAGTGTGGTGTGAATATAATGCAGAGAATCCATAGTTTGGAAATTAGGAGGAGGTGCAGGGTTAATTAACAGTGAACATAGGAAAGAATAAGGTGATGAGGATAACAAAAAGTTTAGGTAATGAAAGACTAGATATCAGATTGGAAGGCAGGAGTATGGAGGAAGTAAATATTTTTTTTATTAACACACTGGCCGATTCCCACCAAGGCAGGGTGGCCCGAAAAAGAAAAGCTTTCACTGTCTTGCCAGAAGGGTGCTTTACGCTAGTTTTTAAACTGCAACATTAACACCCCTCCTTCAGAGTGCAGGCACTGTACTTCCCATCTCCAGGACTCAAGTCCGGCCTGCCGGTTTCCCTGAATCCCTTCATAAATGTTACTTTGCTCACACTCCAACAGCACGTCAAGTATTAAAAGCCATTTGTCTTCATTCACTCCTATCAAACACGCTCACGCATGCCCGCTGGAAGTCCAAGCCCCTCGACACATAAAACCACCTTTACCCCCTCCCTCCAACCTTTCCTAGGCCGACCCCTACCCGCCTTCCTTCCACTACAGACTGATAAACTCTTGAAGTCATTCTGTTTCGCTCCATTCTCTCTACATGTCCAAACCACCTCAACAACCCTTCCTCAGCCCTCTGGACAACAGTTTTGGCAATCCCGCACCTCCTCCTAACTTCCAAACTACGAATTCTCTGCATTATATCACACCACACATTGCCCTCAGACACGACATCTCCACTGCCTTCAGCCTTCTCGCTGCAACATTCATCACCCATGCTTCACACCCATATAAGAGCATTGGTGAAACTATACTCTCATACATTCCCCTCTTTGCCTCCAAGGACAAAGTTCTTTGTCTCCACAGACTCCTAAGTGCACCGCTCACCCTTTTCCCCTCATCAATTCTATGATTCACCTCATCTTTCATAGACCCATCCACTGACACGTCTACTCCCAAATATCTGAATACATTCACCTCCTCCATACTCTCTCCCTCCAATCTGATATCCAATCTTTCATCACCTAATCTTTTTGTTATCCTCATAACCTTACTCTTTCCTGTATTCACTTTTAATTTTCTTCTTTTACATACCCTACCAAATTCATCCACCAACCTCTGCAACTTCTCTTCAGAATCTCCCAAGAGCACAGTGTCATCAGCAAAGAGCAACTGTGACAACTCCCACTTTATGTGTGCTTCTTTATCTTTTAACTCCACGCCTCTTGCCAAGACCCTCGCATTTACTTCTCTTACAACCCCATCTATAAATATATTAAACAACCACGGTGACATCACACATCCTTGTCTAAGGCCTACTTTTACTGGGAAATAACCTCCCTCTTTCCTACATACTCTAACTTGAGCCTCACTATCCTTGTAAAAAATCTTCGCTGCTTTCAGTGTATTCAGATATTTGAGAGTGGACTTGTCAGCAGATGGGTGTATGAAAAACGAGCAGAATCATAGAATTGATGAAGGGAAAAAGGTGAGTGGTGCACTGAGGAGTCTGTGAGACAAAGAACATTATCCATGGAAGCAAAGAAGGAAATGTATGAGAGTACAGTCATACCAACACTTATATATGGGTGTGAAGCATGGGTGGTGAATGCTGTAAGGAGAAGGCTAGAGGCAGCAGACATGCCCTGTTTGAGAGCAATGTGTGGTGTGAATATAATGGAGAGAATCCGTAGTTTGGAAATTAGGAGGTGCAGGGTTATTAAACGTATTATCCAGAGGGCTGAGGAGGGGGTTATTGAGGTGGTTTGGACATTCAGACATGCAGAGAGTATAAATCTGTAGTGGAAGGAAGGTGGGTTAGGGGGTCGGCCTAGGAAAGGTTGGAGGGAGGGGGTAAGGAAGTTTTGTGTAAAGGGCCTGGACTTCCAGCAAGCATAAGCGAGCATATTAGATAGAAGCAAGTGGAGATAAATGGTTTTTATGACTTGATATGCTGTTGGAGTGTGTACAAAGCAACATTAATGAAGGGATTCAGGGGAAACCGGCAGGCCGGACTTGAATACTGGAGGTGAGAAGAACGGTGCCTGCACTCTGTACTCTGTTGCAGTTTTTTAACTGTAATGTACACATATCTCTAGCAAGACAGTGATGTAGTGAATGATGATAAAAGTGTTTCTTCTTTTGCGGGTCACCCTGCCTTGGTGGGAAATGGCCAACAAAACAAAAAAATATAAAAATATGTACATACTATACTATTCACTTTATGATTTTTACTAATGTTTTCAATGAAATTATCAATAGAAAAATGTGAAAATACAGTAAAAATATATGCAAGGAAACAGATGGGAAAATTGTGAAGTGTAGTTCACACCAACCTTAAACTTGAGTGCATCTCTGTCATAAGGTGAAGGTTGACAGTCAACGAGGGCTCTAGCTCTACCGATGAAAGGACCCGTGTATGGCTCTGCTTCCTCCCCAGACAATGATGATCGGTTGCTTCCTGATGCTGTCGCTGCTGCAATCATCATATTAATCAATAATCATCATATCATCCTATCAATTTCAGCAAGTCAGACAATTATTTTGACTCAATACTAATTTTATTTTATCCAAAAGTTGCTAAAGTATGGGTAAGCCAATTACCCTTATACAGTGTAAAAATAACAATTACACTTTAACCCTTTCAGGGTCCCCAGGCCCTCTCCCAGACTTGTTCTCAGGATTGCCCAAATTTCAAAAAAAAAAAAAAAAAAATCTTATGAAAAGATAGAGAATCTTTTCCTGATCATAATGACACCAAAAGTATGAAATTTGATGGAAAACTTATGGAATTATGCTCTCGCGAAGTTAGCGGTCTCAACAATGTTTATGCATCGGCGATTTTGCCCACTTTGAGCCCTATTTTCGGCCAATTCCAGTGTACTAGTTGACAAAAATCATAACTATTTCGCTAAAACTCCATTTTTTCTATCGAATGAATACAAGAAACCGCCCATTTACCGATTTCAACTATCCAATACAGTGGTCAGAATTTAGCAATTTTGCCAATTTCACACAAATTTCAAAAGATGCCAATTTCCAAATAGGGTCCAGAATAAACAAGAAAGATATTCCTGGCACTAAAATAACATTTCCTCTGTTGATTAGTCACGTCCCCATGCTCCTCTTACATTCTTTTGCTTTCCACTTTGAATTTTTTATTCTCACAAAAAATAGATGATTTACTGTTATGCAGACTACTGCATTAGTGTAGAAATGGTATAACTAATATTGGCGCACTTGTGAAAGAATGTTAGACTCACCAGTTGACGTGTGTTGGACGTGTGGCATGATTTGTTTACTTTTGAACTTTGGTAAAAATTGAACATTTATGCTACTTTGAGCTCAATTTCAAGGTACAGTGGTCCCTCGATAATAGTCCGGCTCGATAGTCGTCCTGTTCGGAAATCATCACATTATTTTGTCCAAACAATGGCTCGCAAATGGTCCGTTGACTCGCTAATTGTCTTTCATCCTGGACGCGTGCTCACGGCTCTGACCACGTTGTCCTCCCTTCCCAGCCAGTGTGCCATTGTTTACCGGTGAGCAACTGTCCCCTCATAATATTCCATTCATTTTAGTGCTTGCAAGTGCTAAATAAGCTACCATGGCTCCAAAGAAAGCTCCTAGTGCCAAGCCTTTGGTAAAGAAGGTGAGAAATACGATTAAATTTAAGAAAAACATCATTGAGCAATACGAAAGTGGCGTACGTGTGGGCGAACTGGCCAGGATGTAAAACAAATCCCATACAACCATATCTTCCATCGTGGCCAAGAAAAAGGAAATCAAGGAAGCTGTAGTTGCAAAGGGGATAAATATGCTGACAAAAATGAGATCACCAGTACTCGTAGATGTTGAGAAGTTATTATTGGTGTGGATAAACGAGAAACGATTAGCAGGAGATAGTCTTATGACGTCAATTATTTGTGAAAAGGCTAGGCAGTTGCATGACGATTTGGTAAAGAAATTGCCTGCAACTAGTGGTGATGTGAGTGAATTTAAGGCCAGCAAAGGCTGGTTTGAGAGATTTAAGAAGCATACTGGCATACACAGTGTGATAAGGCATGGTGAGGCTGCCAGTTCAGACCAAAAAGCGGCTGAAAAATATGTGCAGGAATTCAAGGAGTACATAGAGGCTGAAGAACTGAAACCTGAACAAGTGTCCAATTGTGACAAAACAAGCCTCTTTTGGAAGAAAATGCCAAAGAAGACCTACATTACTCAGGAGGAAAAGGCACTGCCACGACACAAGCCTATGAAAGACAGGCTGACGCTCATGTTCTGTGCTAATGCTAGTGGGGATTTCAAAGTGAAGCCATTACTAGTGTACCATTCTGAAAATCCCATTGTGTTCAAGAAAAAAATGTTATGAAGAGTAAATTGTGTATGTTTTGGAGATCTAATAATAAGGCATGGGTCACGAGGGAAATTTTCGTCGAGTGGTTCAATGAAGTGTTTGGCCCTAGTGTGAAGAATTACCTCCTGGAAAAGAAATTGGATCTCAAGTGCCTCCTAGTAATGGACAATGCACCTGCTCATCCTCCAAACTTGGATGACCTAATTCTGAAGGAGTTTGGGTTCATCACAGTAAAGTTCTTGCCCCCGAATACCACTCCTCTCCTCCAGCCCATGGACCAGCAGGTCATTTCAAACTTTAAAAAATTCTACACCAAAGCAATGTTTGAAATGTGCTTTAATGTGACCTCAGACACTTGCTTGACCCTAAGAGATTTTTGGAAAGAACACTTCAGTATTCTCCATTGCATAAGCCTGATAGGTAAGGCTTGAGAGGGAGTGACTACCAGGACTTTGAACTCTGCTTGGGGAAACTTGTGGCCAGATTGTGTCCATAAGAGGGATTTTGAAGGGTTTGAGGCAGCCCCTGATGAGCCTATGTCAGTTGTGAACTCTATTGTGGCATTGGGGAGTTCCATGTGGTTGGATGTGAGTTTGGAGGATGTGGAAGAGTTGGTGGAGGACCACAATGAAGAGCTAACCACTGAGGAGCTGCAAGAGCTTCAGCAGGAACAGCAACAGATCACGGCTCAGAACATTGCTGCAGAGGAGGAAGAGAGATGGAAGAAGGTGCCTTCTTCAGAAATTAAGGAGATTTTTGAAATGTGGGGTAGGATGGAAAGATTTATGGAGAAACATCACCCTGAGAAGGATGTTGCAAGCAGAGGCATTGTAAGGTGGGGTGGGAGGGGGGGGGGCCGCCCCGGGTGACACCATAGAGCCTCTAAAGAAGGTAACACTAATGACCAAAACCATGCTGCAGCAACCTAAGAGAAAAATTCTTCGTTTCTATATGGTCTATTATAGGATTGCAGTACATACTACAAATAGGCCTATATAGGGAAAATCATTGATTTTGATGATGTGATAGATGATTTTGCAGGATTGAGGCAAGGAAATGAAATATCAGATTCATTGAGATGTTACCTGTACTCAAGGCTAAATCAGAACTAGTGTTTTTCTTTATTTTTCATTTTTTTTTCATTGTTGACGATGAATAAATGTAGGATCTGTTGGCTGTACTCAAAGTGATATTTGAGTTTATGTTTCCTCAATATTACTACGATTATTTTATCATTAATAAAGTTCGGTTTATGGCCTTTAAATGTTCTCAATGTTAAACATTAGTCATTGGTCATGTAGCAGTGACATAACTGGAGTTTACCCCCCAACCCCCCACCCTTGGATTTCATGGGGGTGACACCAAAGATGCTATCCCGGGTGACACCAACTGTAGCGACGCCTCTGGTTGCAAGCCATATCGGCAACTTGTACAGTGACAGAGTCTTGGCCTATTTTTGGGAAGTTTTAAAGAGACGCCAGAAACAGAACTCTCTGGACAGTTTTTTTTTGCGAGATAGGACTCCAGTGACTCTCAAGGTGGTCCTAGTGGCATTAAGAAACAGAGAAGAGAAGTAACCCCAGAAAAGCACTTGGTACCTGAGGTGTTGATGGAAGGGGATTCCCCTTCCAAACAGTAACTAATCTAATCTCTCTCCTCCTCCAGTCTTCCATACACTAAGAAGAATCGCCAATAAAGGTAAGTGTTATGCTGTTAATGTTTCATTCATCATGTCCCATTGTACTATTTATGTACTACATCTATATTTCATGTAAAAAAAATTTTTGTTTTAATACCTCTGGGTGTCAGGAACGGATTAATTGTATTTACATTATTTCTTATGGGGAAAATTGATTTGAAAATCATCTATTTCGATAATAGTCCCACTTCCAGGAATGGATTAAGGACGATAAATGTGGGACCACTGTACTTTTCATTGTAAAACCAGTCAAAATCATCTCAATTTCTGTAATATATCTTCCATTCTATAAAATGAGACCAGGAAAACTAGAATACAACAACAAATACCATACGAAAATACAGTGCAAAGTCACTGTTTTAATCCAAAAACACAATTTTTTTTTTTCATTACGCACTGTGTGCTACAGGATTTTTTTTATACTGCGCACACTGACCACATAGACCCATTCTTTCATATGTAGGCCTACCAGCTTTCTCTCACTAGATTTGAGGGCACTAGAATTTAGGCATACTAGTAAGTCAAAAACCCTGAAAGGGTTAATAAGAGGTTGATACACCGAGGATGTATTAAGAAAGGGAGGGGGTAGGATGCTACTGAAAAGAAAAATCAGGACAGTCATAGGTAACACTTTACAGCATGGAATACTCCAATTTCTCTCACTACTGTATTTAGAAAGACTGCCTTTAATTACCCTGTATTAATCCTCAAGGTCACAATTGAAAGTTTGGGGAATTTGAGTCAAAAAAAAGCAAGTGTCCTAAATATGTGACCATGAAAAAGCAGTACACTGGAACCTTGGTTTTCATCTTTAATCTGCTTCTGAGAGTCTGGCGAAAACCGAATTCAACGAAGACTGAAGCAATATTTCCCATGAGAAATAATGTAAATCCAATTAACCCGTTCGAGACACTCAAAAATATTAACAAAAAATACATTTTAAAGAGAATAACTATAGTTTTACATACAGAAAACAATGAGAAATAAATATAAAGCAATAATGAAATGGATAAATGAACATTTAAATCACTTTTACCTTTATTGAAGACTCTTGTTGGTGTATGGAAGACAGCGAGGAGGGGAGATAGAGGAGAGATTATCTCTACCACCATCACTACCACCCTCTACCACCATCACAACCACTACCACCCTCTACCACAATCACTACCACCCTCTACTGCCATCACAACCACTACCACCTCTACCACCATCACTACCACCCTCTACCACAATCACTACTACCCTCTATCACCATCACTACCAGAAACTACAAGAAATAAAGCCAGACTGACTCAGAATGCATGTGTGGGATACTCTGTGTGGGAGATGGCAGGCAAACACGTTCAGTATGGCAGACGAAAACCAAGGTGATGAACGAAAACTGGGACAACATTTTGATGAAAAAAGTTGTCAAAAACCGAATTTGACAAAAGCTGGGGCAAACGAAAACCGAGGTTCCACTGTAGTATTTGATTCTTCCAAGAACAGCATTTAATGCAATATTGTTCATTTTCCATATACAGTACAGCACAAGTACAGATGATCATCAGTTAATCATGGTTTACCATACTTCACAATGGTCTGATATACACTATCTGATACATCAGGGAACTCGTATGTTACATGACACCCAGGGATATAACACATGACAACTGACATGGTGGGCTACCTAGCTGACAGTGATCCATTCACTTACTGAGATGATCAAACAAACAAAAGGTGAGGTTTAGCGAATGTGACATACAATTGCTTCCTGATCAACGTTTGCATTTTGAAACATCAAGGTACACCTCATGGCCTATATAAATTTATTGTTTTTGTGGGGAAGGGGAAGGAAGGACTCTGTTTCAACATTATGTTACATTTTATGCCAGTCAACACAAGTTCCAATAAACATCTTAACACTAGTTTACATAGATTACATTTCTTGAATATTGTTCTTTGGCAGTGATATTAGAAATCCAGCAATCACACTGAATAAAATATTATGGCTGGTTTTGAGCCATGAGCACTGAAACAATAGTTCATGTGGCTGTACATTATAGTGATGATATTGACAATGAAAGAAATCTTGAGGTAAAGCCCAAGTAGGACTTAAAACTGCTTATCAGTGAAAACTTTAATGTTACATTATTTAAATGCTCTAAAACAGGGGTCCTCAACCTGCAGTCCAAGGGTCACATGTGGCCCTTCTAGGAAATAGATGCAGCCCTCACATTAAATTATGAATTTACTTTTATACAGATTCCACACTGCGGTGTTAACAATTACAAAGTGTTTTTGTTATTCATAAAAATTACAAAATGCAGCCCACTTTTAAATTTGGCTTTTCAAATTGGCCCTTTCATACTAAAAGGTTGGGGACTCCTGCAAGTCTAATTCATCACTTTTCAAACAGTGGGAATGAGCCCCAAGAAATCCACAAGCGGACTACCACTGGGGCTTCTTGCTGGCTGCCTGCACCGAGACACAATTATTTCATTCTGGTATCTTCAGGATATTACTAAATGTAAAAAGAAGAAAAACTTCTGTTTCGTCTTTTCGGGTCATCCTGCCTTGGTGGGAGACGACCGATGTGTTAAAAAAAAAAAATCTTCAGTGTCAGAAATGTGCATGTATCATCTGAATTCTGATTTTTATTTTTTAATAGTGCACAACTCATACTGATACTGATAAATGAAAGAGATATTAAATACAGCCTCTCCTCACTTAGTGAAGTACAGTGGACCCCCGCATAACGGACGCCTTGCATAGCGGACAATCCGCATAGCGGACGCTTTGATCGCTAAAATTTTGCCCCGCATAGCGCCCAAAAACCCGCTCAGCGGCCTTCGTCCGAGACGCGTCCAATGTGCGGCCTGAGCCACGCTCACATGTTCCGCGGGTGGCATTGTTTACCAGCCAGCCTCCGCGGTAACATCCAAGCATACAATCGGAACATTTTGTATTATTACAGTGTTTTTGGTGATTTTTTTCTGGAAAATAAGTGACCATGGGCCCCAAGAAAGCTTCTAGTGCCAACCCACAGCAATAAGGGTGAGAATTACTATGGAGATGAAGAAAAAGATCATTGATAAGTATGAAAGTGGAGTGCGTGTCTCCGAGCTGGCCAGGTTGTATAATAAACCCCAATCAACCATCGCTACTATTGGTGGTACAAGCTGCTGCTGCTGCTGTATCACCGTCAGCTGCTGCTGCACTGTCAGCTGCTGCTGCTGTACCACCGTCAGCTGCTCCTGCTGCTGTAGTACCGTCTGCTGCTGCTGTAGCATCATCTGCTGCTGCTGTAGCATCGTCTGCTGCTGCTGTAGCATCGTCTGTTGCTGCTGTAGCATCGTCTGTTGCTGCTGTACCACCGTCAGCTGCTGCTGCTGCTGTAGCATCGTCTGCTGCTGCTGTAACATCGTCAGTTGCTGCTGTAGCATCGTCTGCTGCTGCTGTAGCATCGTCTGTTGCTGCTGTAGCATCGTCTGCTGCTGCTGCTGCTGTAGCATCGTCTGCTGCTGCTGTAACATCGTCAGCTTGCTGCTCCCTGCGCTGTAGGCCGTTGTTGGTGTGGCTTATTGGGGAATACCAAGAAACAATTAACCCCAGAGGATTTGCCACCCAGGATAGCCCAAAAAAGTCAGTGTCATCGAAGACTGTCTAACTTATTTCCTTTGGGGGTCCTTAATCTTGTCTCCCAGGATGCAACCCACACCAGTCGACTAACCCCCCGGGTGAACGGGGAAAATGCCTGGAACTAGTGCTCATATTGGTGAATTTAGAGCCAGCAAAGGTTGGTTTGAGAGATTTTAAGAATCGTAGTGACATACACAGTGTGATAAGGCCCTGTTCTGGAAGAAAATACCAACAGGACCTACAGTACTCAGGAGGAAAAGGCACTCCCAGGACACAGTGTCTCATCATCATTGCTGCATCTTCAAAAAGGTAAGTGTCATTTATTCTTCATTAGTAGAGTAGTACATGCACAATAAATTGTGCATGTACTACTCTACTAATTGTGCATGGGATCCTTCTCTTTGTGTGTAGGAAAATGTATATTTCATGTGGTAAAATTTTTTTTTTCAAACTTTTGGGTGTCTTGCACGGATTAATTTGATTTCCATTATTTCTTATGGGGAAAATTCATTCACATAGCGAACATTTCGCATAACAGCCAGCCCTCTTGCACGGATTAAGGTCGCTATGCGGGGGTCCACTGTACTTGTTTACCAACGACTCGTACTTATGACAGGCTCTCTGACCAGTATGCATACCTCAGTAATGTGTATTAGAGCTGATTTCCTCTATCCTGTTTATCACAATACACAATACACTACTGTATAAGCATTTAAAAAATATACAGTGGACCCCCAGTTTACGATATTATTTCATTCCAGAAGTATGTTCAGGTGCCAGTACTGACCGAATTTGTTCCCATAAGGAATATTGTGAATTAGATTAGTCCATTTCAGACCCCCAAACATACACATACAAAGGTACTTACATAAATACACTTACATAATTGGTCGCATTGGGAGCTGATCGTAAACTGGGGGTCTATTGTACCAGAAAAGTTATAAGTGGTACAAAGATGGCATTAAAACGAATATCAAAGATGGTTGACACAGACCCACTACAATTTTAGTATGCTTCTCACTTAGCTATGAATTCATTTACTGATGTGGTCTTAGGAATGGAACTCTGTCATTAAGTGAGGAGAGGCTGTACTTATTTTAAGTACTAAATGTGCAAAAGAAAAATGGGAATGTTAGGCAATATTAATAATGTTGAGAAGTATTAATGCTTACAGCATAAAGCACAATAACACAAATCTTTATCATGCCTACTTTTTCACTCTCAAAAAAAAAAAAAAAAATGTTTTCTGTGTATGCAATAAAAAAAATCAACCCTGTTGTTTACACTGGTATGAGTATCATTGCAATAAAATTCTAATTGCATTAACACATCATTAAGAGAAATTTCTTCATTATTCTCCATTGAAAAAGTGATAAGGTGGTGCATGCATAACTTCTATATTTATTTGGTGCAAATACAGTGGTACAGCACAATACAGTATACTGAATTTTGTCTCTAGGGATTACATCTCCAGCTATTTAGTAATGCTTTTGTGAAAATTAATCTGCATCATTATTATCATATTATACAGCTTTATCATTATCTAAGACTTATATTCTGAATGTACACAACTTTTTCCATCATAATATGAGCAATCCATTCTCTGACTTTATAAAGCCTGAAAACTTTCCACATATTTTGTATAAGCTTACCCAGAGGAGCTGACGTAGGGATGCTCTCATAGGAGGAGGCTGCAGGCTGCTGGTTCGCTGGTGCTGCAAGTGACGTGCCAGCTTTGTCTGCACTACCCACCGGCCCGGGTGAACTTGAAGTGCTACCGCGAGGACTTTTAAGCCGGGATATTTTTTTCTGCATATCCCGACGAAGCCCTCGCATTCGTCCTACTAAGGATGCTGATCCTGTGCGCTGCAAATTAAAGCAAGTACATATATGAGAAATTTTAAAGCATTAAAGTAAATTTTGAATACAATGTTAAAATCTTTTAAGTGATTTGAATAAGATAATGTCTGAAATATAATTATTTTGCTTTCTCTCAGAAGAAATTAAAATGATAATTTGCATTTATGGTATTGTACAGAATACTTTCTCAGGGTAAAATTTACCAAAGATAATGCACTGTGGCCCACACAGGTTTAGCACATTGTTTTGTGAATATACTGTAGTATAATAATATAATCATTACATAAGTAAAGAGTTTGTGCTGGTATTTATAAAACCGAATTTTTTCTTTTTCAAATGAGGAAAATCAATGAACTAATTAAAAAATTTAACAATTTACTGTAGCTAATTTGTTCCATTAAAATGTTTATACAAATTACAAAGTTCAAGGAAGAAAGACTGAGTAAGAACATAATGCATGCAACAGGACACTTTATATTCTGAGTGGCTCAGACAAGTGAAAGTCTCTCTCATAGTGAATCACAGGAAACACAGATATTAATCATCTCCCTTCCCCCATGCTCTAGATTTTGTTTACATGACTGTGTGTGTGTGTGTGTGGGTGCTCAAAATATATCAATAACAAAACTATTAAAACTACTGAAAGCTTTAACATTAAATTGGGGGGATTTTGTCTAGCTATATTTGATGTCTTATTAGATGAGGAAAATATTTAATTTTCCAGGCAAATTTAATAACTACAGTGATGAATATTACACATAATATATATTAATCAGCTATGAAAATAGTCTACATGATTTTTATCATGTATCTTACTGTGTAACCTGAATGAGGCTAGTTAAAAGGACCAAACACAACTCTGTGTTTATGATGATCTAATTCTTTGTGGTTTGTAAAATTTCTAATCATCCTACTGTATGAACTAGTTTAGCACTTCCTTTTGATTATAATAATAATAATAATAACTGTAAGAACTAATGAGTAAAATAAGTGTGTAAATTTAATGACAAATATCTCCTTATGAAACAATCAGTGACATTCAGTGTTAACTGGTTTTTTTTCTTCCTTCAGGACTTTTGTTTAGAACTTGAGAATACCTGATTAAATAGGCTTCAGATTTTTCAAAGCTAATAAAAAAATTCTTCACAGAGTTCCCATACATACAAATAGTTCTGTGTAAGTTTTAATTTGCCAATTTCAATAAATTAATTTTCTGAAATACAGTACCTGAAGAATGCCTATCCTGACTGGCTTTAAACCCTAAATGCTTAAGAACTCAGAGAAAAGAAATGTTTGGGTTGATCTTGGGCTGTGTTAGTGTAAAATTCGTAAAAAAAAAAAAAAGTTGGGAAAGTTTTTCTTGCGATATATTGAGAATGAACTTGTGAGCAGGTTTAAGATACTGGTGTATTTTGCTCGAAGGAGAGCTAGCACTGCCATGGGGCTGTGCCAGTCATAATGTGCTAAATTTATTAAAGAAAAGGGGATACTGGTCTCTGTGCAATAACTAATGAATGCCTCTTTAGACTGGTTATAAACTTTCAAAGCCTACTTAGTGAAAAGTTCAAACTGGGTTCCAATTTGTCATTTTTATTGATGAAATGGGATACTAGTCCACACAAATTTTGAATACATTCTATGGAAAATACTGTATATATTTTCCGGAAATACAGTATTTTATATGTAAATTGATGGCCTATATTGTAGTAATAAAAATTAATTTGTAAATAAAGAGGCAGCGATGGGTGAGCGTCGCTGGGGGGGAGACGGCAACAGCCTGGTTGATCAGGCTCTGATCCACCAGGAGGCCTGTCACAGACCGAGCCACGGGGGCGTTGACCCCCGGAACTCTCTCCAGGTAAACTCCAGGTACAGGCACACTAATGGAATATGCATAAATTTCGTCACTCTGGAAGTTAAATTGTGTTTGAAACTTTCCAAATAGGAGCTGAAATTGTTGGATTTGCAGTCCTGCATAACATGAACATTAAGCAGATGTACAGGACAGCTTCAGAACCCCAGCTAAGTCGATGTCCATTGATGTTGGAATTCTGGCCAGTATTTTCTTCATATTTAGGCAGGGGGTTGTGTATGAGACACCAAGTAATCTCCAGACAAACTTGTGAGTCTTATGATTATAAATTCTCCTTCTGTTACATAAATGTATATGTAATCACATTTATAAATTTAATATACAGTCCACATATTTATATTAATGTTTTACCAGAATTCCTGGTGATGTATATTTCATGTGAAATTAATATAGGTCCAGAGTGACTTGTGGATATGACAGTAGTAGGTATCGAAGGGGGATATTTTTTGTGACCTAGGTGTCCTAAAATTCCTACTTGTCTCTGTAACCTTGATAAAGAATAATTATCTTTGTTATCATTTACTGGTATGTATCTTATGAGTTACATCCAGGTAAATTTAATTTTCCACACCTTCTCTAATCAGCTTCAAATCTCCAATACTGATATTTAGACGAGTCAGAAACTTAAGCCATACTCTTTATTATCGCTTCTGTATGCATTAACACACAAGGATGACCAAGTGAATGAGACAAGCCTAGTTAAGCAAGCAAAGGTAGAGGTACACATAAGTGCAGTTATCATACATGGTGTAAATTACCCAGGCAACTCAAATCAAAGTGACTTATTTCCACTGGAGTCCTTGATGTAGTTCTCCACGATAAGTGCCATTAGAAAAAGATGATTGACCATAATCATTGCTGATTGTGAAATGTAATATTGTACTGTATAAATGAAGTGGTGTCACTGAATATTTTCAACAATGTTTGCTTTATAATTAAAGTATTTATTCGAAATTCTCCCAAATTAAAAGATCAGTTTTGGATTTTGGAATTTACATTTTGATTTGTTTAACAACTGATTCAAATAAGAGATGAATGTTTCTTGGAAAGGTACTACCATCTTGCCAAGTGAGTGTAAAATGGAAACCTGTAGTTGCTTTACATGATGGTAGGATTGCTGGTGTCTTTTTTTTCTGTCTCATAAACATGCAAGTGATACCTCGAGTTTCGGCCATAATTCATTCCTGAAGGTTGTTCGAGTGCCATTACTGAACGAATTTGTTCCCACATGGAATAATGTAAATTAGATTAGTCCGTTTCAGACCCCCAAAAATACACTTACAAAAGCACTTACAAAAATACACTTACATAATTGTTCGAGTTGGGAGCTGTTTGAAACTCAGAGTACCATTGTATTGCTACTTCTACCAACACGTAGGTCACACTACACATGCATGTACAAGCATATACATATGCACCCCTCTTACTAGCTCTTGCTCTTGTTTATTTTTTATCTCCATGGAGAAGTGGAACAGAATTCTTCCTCCATAAGTCGTGTGTCGTAAGAGGTGACTAAAATGCCGGGAGTAAGGGGCTAGTAACCCCTTCTCCTGTATACATTACTAAATTTAAAACAAGAAACTTTCGTTTTTCTTTTAAGGCCACCCTGCCTCGGTGGGATATGGCTGGTTTGCTGGGAAAAAAATCTGATATTCAAATTGTTCTGAACAGAATCAAACCAAAAAACAACTTTTCTATTTTGGATTTATTATTAAGACAAATAAAAATATGCATACAATTTCTATAATCTGAAATGTTCTGTTATCCAAAAGAGAGATATACAACTCTACTGTATTGTCTTAGCTTCAATGAGAAAATGACTCGCCACACCTTGGTAGTGGAAAACATGGGCAGTGGTCTACCTGGAGTCGATGTTGGGGGTCACCAACCCCACAACTTGGTCCCAGACTAGGCCTCCAGTTGTTGGCCCCAATGACCAGGCTGTTAGTACCATCTGCATGCAGTCCAACATATACATCACAGCCTGGCTAATCAGAAGCTGACTTAAGAAGACAGGTACAAGTTGTTAATTCCTCTTATGCATGGGAAGGAGCATGTTGAAGAGACTTGGTTCCCATACACTTATTGAGGTCTCTGTCAGTGTAGCCATCATGTCCCATGCTTTGCACTGGAGGTACTTTTGAACTGTTTTATACTCTTGCAACCTGGCCTGAAGTCAGGTCTCCTTAGGTTAGAGGGGTGGACCGGTAAGCTTTTGGCTTACTGGTCCACCCCTTTAAAAATTAATGGGTAATATTATTATAATCATTTGCTAATTGCAGGCCTTCTTGTTCATTACTTGGTTAACCAGGTTGTTACTGCTAGCTGCCAGCATGGGCATATAGCCTTCATGATCCGGCTGGTCATACACTTCAAAGTGGGTGATGCTGATGGTGCAAGTGATGGTGATGACTGTACTGATGAAAACAATGGTATTTGTGAAGACAGTTGTCAAGATAGTGATGGTGATGGATTACTTGATTTATAGTGATGGTGATCAACATCATTGATGATGACTTGGGTGATGACTAATGGTCATAATGATTAGTAAGCAAGTTTATTCAGGTACAGGTACATAAATAGTTGTATAAATTATCATACATAGCAGCATGTTTGTAGATTATCTAGGATAACCCAAGAATGTAAAAGTGATTTATTTCCATTGGGGTCCTTGAGGATGAACGTGATATATGGTGATGATGACACCGATAGTGGCGAATGATAGTGATGGGTGGTGGTGGTGATGTTTGGTGGTGATGACATTAATGACTAATAATTGTGGCATGGCAGTGATGGTGGTGGTGGCAGTGACAGTGGTGGTGATAGTGATGATGGCAGTGACTGGTAATAGTGATGATGGTGCTAGAGGAAGATACTGATGACTGGTACAGTGGTGGTCGTCAAACCAATATGTCCCTATTACTTACTATGTTAATTTTTATGTCAAAAAAATACGCTTGTTTATTGTGTTAGATTAGTACTTAGTTGTTTTGAATTTGCAGGAAACCTAATACCATGAAAGAGATGTGTTCGTACGTGGGGGAAGGGGAGGGGTGCTAGGGATGTGCCCTGGGAGCCAAGGGGAGGAGTGCTAGGGATGTGCCCTGGGAGCCAAGGGGGGGTGCTAGGGATGTGCTCTGGGAGCCAAGGGGAGGGGTGCTAGGGATGTGTTCTGGGAGCCAAGGGGAGGGGTGCTAGGGATGTGCTCTGGGAGCCAAGGGGAGGGGTGCTAGGGATGTGCCCTGGGAGCCAAGGGGAGGGGTGCTAGGGATGTGCCCTGGGAGCCAAGGGGAGGGGTGCTAGGGATGTGCTCTGGGAGCCAAGGGGAGGGGTGCTAGGGATGTGCTCTGGGAGCCAAGGGGAGGGGTGCTAGGGATGTGCTCTGGGAGCCAAGGGGAGGGGTGCTAGGGATGTGCTCTGGGAGCCAAGGGGAGGGGTGCTAGGGATGTGACCTGGGAGCCAAGGGGAGGGGTGCTAGGGATGTGACCTGGGAGCCAAGGGGAGGGGTGCTAGGGATGTGCCCTGGGAGCCAAGGGGAGGGGTGCCAGGGATGTGCCCTGGGAGCCAAAGGGAGGGGTGCTAGGGATGTGCCCTAGGAGCCAAGGGGAGGGGTGCCAGGGATGTGCCCTGGGAGAGAAGGGGAGGGGTGCTAGGGATGTGCCCTGGGAGCCAAGGGGAGGGATGCCAGGGATGTGCCCTGGGAGCCAAGGGGAGGGGTGCTAGGGATGTGCCCTGGGAGCCAAGGGGAGGGGTGCCAGGGATGTGCCCTGGGAGCCAAAGGGAGGGGTGCTAGGGATGTGCCCTGGGAGCCAAGGGGAGGGGGTGCTAGGGATGTGCCCTGGGAGCCAAAGGGAAGGGTGCTAGGGATGTGCCCTGGGAGCCAAGGGGAGGGGTGCTAGGGATGTGCCCTGGGAGCCAAGGGGAGGGGGTGCTAGGGATGTGCCCTGGGAGCCAAAGGGAAGGGTGCTAGGGATGTGCCCTGGGAGCCAAGGGGAGGGATGCCAGGGATGTGCCCTGGGAGCCAAAGGGAGGGGTGCTAGGGATGTGCCCTGGGAGCCAAGGGGAGGGGTGCCAGGGATGTGCCCTGGGAGCCAAGGGGAGGGGTGCTAGGGATGTGCCCTGGGAGCCAAGGGGAGGGGTGCCAGGGATGTGCCCTGGGAGCCAAGGGGAGGGGTGCTAGGGATGTGCTCTGGGAGCCAAGGGGAGTGGTGCTAGGGATGTGCTCTGGGAGCCAAGGGGAGGGGTGCTAGGGATGTGCCCTGGGAGCCAAGGGGAGGGGTGCTAGGGATGTGCCCTGGGAGCCAAGGGGAGGGGTGCCAGGGATGTGCCCTGGGAACCAAGGGGAGGGGTGCTAGGGATGTGCCCTGGGAGCCAAGGGGAGGGTGCTAGGGATGTGCCCTGGGAGCCAAGGGGAGGGGTGCCAGGGATGTGCCCTGGGAACCAAGGGGAGGGGTGCCAGGGATGTGCCCTGGGAGCCAAGGGGAGGGGTGCCAGGGATGTGCCCTGGGAGCCAAGGGGAGGGGTGCCAGGGATGTGCCCTGGGAGCCAAGGGGAGGGGTGCCAGGGATGTGCCCTGGGAGCCAAGGGGAGGGGTGCCAGGGATGTGCCCTGGGAGCCAAGGGGAGGGGTGCCAGGGATGTGCCCTGGGAGCCAAGGGGGCGACAGCATGAAAAAGTTTGGCAACCAATGACTTACATTAAGACAGTCATAAACATTGATCTAGGAAAGGTGACTTATCATAGATTGTGCGTGGTGGTCTCAGACTGAACCTGGTGGTCTCAGACTGAACCTCGTGGTCTCGGACTGAACCTAGTGGTCTCAGACTGAACCTGGTCTCAGACTTAACCTGGTGGTCTCGGACTGAACCTAGTGGTCTCGGACTGAACCTGGTGGTCTCAGACTGAATCTGGTGGTCTCGGACTGAACCTGGTGGTCTCAAACTGAACGTGGTCTCAAACTGAACGTGTCTCCCAATGAACGTGGTCTCACAATGAACGTGGTCTCACAATGAACGTGATCTCACAATGAACGTGGTCTCAAACTGAACGTGGTGTCAATGAACGTGGTCTCAAACTGAACGTGGTCTCCCAATGAACGTTGTCCTCAAACTGAACGTGGTCTCCCAATGAACGTGGTCTTAGGTTCTTTAGTTATCTTAAGTAATTAACGTTACCATGTCTGTGTACTGTATTTATGTGTACCTGAATAAACTTAGTGACTTAAACTTTGGGTTGTGATAGTTACTTCAACATCGTCATGATCCTCGTAGTCTGATGAATGTGAAGGTGAGTGACCATCTTCACTGCCGCCGCTCATACTACTGCGACTCTGTAAATACAACTTTATTTAGTATGCTGTAAATACAACTTTAATTATGGTACAAATACAACTACAGTTAACATGGAACAAATACAACTACAGTTAACATGGAACAAATACAACCTCAAGTACTGATGTACAAGAGTCTTTCTGCAATTAAATTTACAGGTTAAGTGTGTTTTCCTGTCTCAGCTCCTTTCTAAGGCATTCTAACCCCCTACCCAGGATGCCACCCACAAGAGCCGCCTAACATCCGTGTACGTATATAATTACTAGAGGAATGGGTGAAACATGTGTAAGGAGTACATGAATGATATACACTACCGGCAAGATGAAGAATTAGACATGTGCAACATCTGGGTACCTTTAATTTGTAGATGTTTCGCCATCCAGTGACTTTATCAATACAAGGACAATGTAAGGACTGAAGAAGTATATACCAGGTAATCAGTCCCTCAGCCGAGGAGAGCTACACCAACTATATATAACAAAGAAACAAGATGACAACTACAAGAAGTATATATAACAACAACACAAGGAAGACAGGCAACTTCATTTCAAAGAATAAATAAAGTATAACTAAAATACATTATACGAGGCGTGAGCGAGTACCTGAAAGTCATCAATCATCTCTTAAAATCACCAGGTAAGAGCATTTTATGAAGAAGAGGGACCTTAAATACCCTGTCATGGAAAGAGGGGATCTCTCAATGACTTTTGTCTTCTTTATTCCTTCCTTCTCGTTCCCCCTCCCCCAGCCTCTTATTTACGTGAGAGTGGTCATTCTAATACCCAAGTGATAATAAGTTTAGCCCTGCTGGAAAACTTAGAAGCAGCAGTAGTTATTATAGATATCCTCTTCACTTTACTGAAGCCTCCCGTCCCAGGCCAACAAGCTTCATTACCTCGCGTACATGTTACCACATCCAGAAAGACGGATATTGATAGTTTTTGCTCCTACAATGTAACTACCATACAGAAACACTAGCAGCACACTGCAGATGTATTCATTTTTTAAATTCCTCATTGTCACCTAAATCCTCTTGTGTCTTCTTTATCCTCCTTCAAGCTACTTATACCTTCTCTCTCCCCCTCCCTCCAAAGACTCTTGTGCCGTCTTTGCTGCCCCCTCCTTCCCCACAGGTCATTAATACCTTCTTTGCCCCTCTCTCTCTCTCTCTTCTCTCTTTCCCAAGCTTTATGTGACATGATGTCAACGCTCACAACACTAAGTTGTCACTGCCTTTAAAATGACGATATGACAACAAAAAGAAACCTGACTCATCTCTAATTATACACAGATAACCCGCATATTAGAGACTGAAACTTATGAGAACGTTTCGGTCCGACTTGGACCATTAACCACATCGTCATAAGTTTTATTATCCCATGTGGCTTTTTATTCATCTCTGATTATATTTTCATTTGCAATGTTTTCACACACAATTCAGAAAAAAGACAAAATAATTACGAGCCACAAATCAAACAGATCAAGTCAGTTATATTTGTTTACACCTGGAGGGCCTGATCAACTGTTGCTGGTGGCCGCATGCAAACTGACGTACGAACCACAGCCCGGCTGGTCAGGTACTGTCTGTCCAGCTCCCTCTTGAGGTCAGCCAGAGGTCTATTGGTAATCTCACTTATGTAAGTTGGGAGGCAGTTGAACAATCTTGGGCCCCTGACACTTATTGTGTTATCTCTTATCTGATTACAGTACAGGCCTTTACATTTATGGATAGGAACTTTGTACCTAGGAATTCAAGTAAATGCTGACGAGGAAGTCAGGTTTCCAGGTAAACTCACCCTGACTACCTAGTACAGCACTGGTAAGCCAGCCCTGGTCCACAGAGCCGATGGCTACTCTCACCTTAGGCTCCCACAGAGCAATTAACACTGATTAATATACAAGACATATGCTATATCTAGGACATTTATTAGGGAGACGTTTCGCCAATCAGTGGCTTCATTAATATGACATTAATATGACTGGCTAATGAAATGTTTACTTACAAATGTTGTAGTTACTGCGTCCTTCTTACTACCTTTACCTTCCAATATCCTAACATAGACAATGACTTAATTAGGTGACGAACAACTGATGAATAACCTAACCAAGGGAAGTGCTCTGTCTTTCACAAGCAAGACAGCAGGAGACTTCAGTCGCAAGAACATCCAAATATACATGGAAACTGTAACAATTCCGATGCACGAGTTCTTTTATTGCAAGCTCACGGAGAAGAAAGGTAAATTTATAAGACGGAAGCCACGTCTGGCAGCTATCTTAAACAGAACACAACTCTAGTGACTGTCAATTCAGAGCCACAGCAGCTGTCATATCAGCCAAAGATATTAAACACCAACAAAAACTCCCAGCATAAATAATAGCACTTCATTTTTGGCAAACACACAGTCTTATAAAGAGTAATAACAGCCTAATCCTTTTCATTAGAAATCGTGTTCAAGTACAGTGACTGGGATTTCCATATAGATCTATCAGCAGAAACCAAAAGGTGGGATTGATCTGTACATTATATTCTAAGCTGCTTCACGCCACCAAACAATGTAGCCCATGTACTGACAGTGACAAATGAAAATAAAACTAGTCAACAACCTGTTGGAATGTTTATAGGGCTACTGACAGACTTACGCCGTATCGAACCCCCCACTGGCCAATGCTTTCGTAAACAAACCACAGTTTATTTGCGGAAGCAATATAGCATAGTGAGCACCACCTACTACAAGGGATGGAAGACCCTGTGGACAACTTGTATAACACTTGATATAAGAACATAAGAAAGAAGGAACACTGCAGCAGGCCTACTGACCCATGCGAGGCATGTCCAAGACTCCTACCGGCTTAATCCAATGCCCTAACCTAGTTAGGTCAGGTCACATTCACTTAAGGAAGGAGCACGGCATCTGACCTAGTAGCACAAAAATACCATTTTAATGCTCACAAATTAGTCGGGTCCAACTCACACCCACTCCTGTATTTATCTAACCTATTTTTAAAACTACACAACATTTTAGCCTCTATAACTGTACTGGGGAGTTTGTTCCACTCATCCACAACACTGTTACTAAACCAGTGTTTTCCTATGTCCTTCCTGAATCTGAATTTTTCCAATTTGAAACTATTGCTACGAGTCCTGTCTATGCTAGATATTTTTAGTACACTATTTACATCCCCTTTATTTATTCCTGTTTTCCATTTATACACCTCAATCATATCCCCCCTAATTCTACGCCTTTCCAGAGAGTGCAGATTCAGGGTCCTCAGTCTATCCTCACAGGGAAGATTTCTGATACGTGGGATCAACTTTGTCATCATCCTCTGTACGTTTTCCAGAGCATTTATAACTATTCTGTAATACGGTGACCAAAACTGTGCAGCATAATCTAGATGAGGCCTAACCAAGGATATATAGAGTTGAAGAACATCCTAAGGACTCCTATTATTTATGCTTCTTGATACAAAGCCAAGGATTCTATTCGCTTTATTGCAAATACTTATGCACTGTTGTCTTGGTTTCAGATTACTGCTAACCAGAACTCCCATCCTTTTTGCAATTAGTAATATTAAGATCTACATTATTTAGTTTATATGTGGCATGGTTATTTTCCTGTCCAATGTTTAGAACTTTGCGTTTGTCTATATTAAACTGCATCTACCACTTTTCCGACCACTGCATCAGTCTATTCAAATCATCCTGGAGTGCTCTAATGTCCTCGTCAGAATGAATTCGACGGCCTATTTTGGTTTCATCAGCAAACTTGCTTATGTCGCTATTTATTCCCCTCATCTATGTCGTTAATGTAGATCGTGAACAATACGAGGCCAACACTGACCCCTGTGAAACACTGCATGATTTCTCCCCATTTATGCAAACACTCTGCCTATTTGTCAGCCATACCTCTATCCAGGAAAAAATTTCTCCTCCTATTCCGTGTGCCTTAATTTTCCTCAATAGTCTCTGATGTGGGACTATCAAAAGCGCTACTGAAGTCCATATACACACTATCATATTCATTACCATGATCCACCTCCTCAAATACCTTAGTGAAAAAAGTTAATAAATCCGTAAGGCATGAACACCCTTTTGTAAAACCACGCTGAGATTCGTTGATCAATTTATTCTTTTCAAGAAGGCTACGAATTGCCTCGGCAATTATAGATTCCATAAATTTTCCCACTATGGAGGTAAGGTTTATTGGCCTATAGTTCGAAGTTAAGGACCTGTCACCTGCTTTGAAAATAGGTATCACATTTGTCATTTTCCACTTATCAGGCACTATGCCAGTTTGTAGTGATATGTTGATTAGCCAAAGGTTTGCTAAACTCCACTTTACATTCCTTTAGAACCCTTGCATACAGTTCATCAGGGCCTGGGGATTTGTTACGTTTTAATTTATCTATATGTCTAAGGACCATGTCACTTGTGACCCTAATCGTGCTTAGTTTATTATCGTCCTGTTCTACATAATTTATTTCTGGAGTATCACTCGTATCTTCCTGCGTAAAAACTAAGAGGTAGTAAGTGTTAAAAATTCTACACATTTCCTTATCACTGTCGGTGAGTTGACCCAAGTAACTTTTGAGTGGGCCTATCATGTCCCTAATGTTACTTCTGTATACCTGAAAGAATCCTTTTGGGTTAGTCTTCGATTCTCTTGCAACTTTAACCTCATAATCTCTTTTTGCTTTTCTTATTCCCTTTTTTATTTCTCTCTTTAACTGAATATATTGATTTCTTAACTGCACCTCTCCTCTTTTGATTTGTCTATATATGCCTCTCTTTTGACAAATGAGATGTTTCAGTCTACTGTTCATCCATTTAGGATCATTTTTATTTGATTTGATTTCCCTATTTGGAACACAGGTTGTCTGAACAGCTAGAACTTTGCTCTGGAAAACGTCATATCGGCAACCATCAACACCTACCTGACCCATAGTCAGGTCATTCCAGTTCAGCCTACCCAGGGAATTTCTCAGTCCTATGAACTCA